CTTTTGGGCGATGTCGCCCTCATTGTTCAAAGGTCATATGTCTTTTACTCGCTCTAAATGCCTTCTTGAAGGATTTCTTTCAAATGTTGTATTTGTCTCTTACAGGCCTCATAATTACCTGATTTAAATCTTGTTTCCAATTTTTTTTTTTTCCCCGTTTTTTTTTTTGTTGTCTTCCTGATTTTATCCCTATTTTCTCCATTTTTCCCTATTTCTCCCTATTTTTCCCTATTTTTCCCTTTTTTTCCCTATTTTTCCCCAATTTTCTTACTCAATTTTCTTACTCAAAAGGGGAGGAATGTTGTTAAATGCCATTTTTTCCCCTGAATCCTCTCTTTCTTTTTACTCAAGGGTGCGTGGTTGAGGGGGGAATGAAAACCTTTTTTCTTTTAGTGCTCACTATGGCCCCTGGGGGGTGTTTCACAAAGATCCTAAGTCGAACGTAACAAGTTTGACTTAAAAATTATGGAGAGCCATTTTTAGCCTTAAAATAAAATATATTAAAAAGCAAAATGCCAAAAAGCAATTATTTTAGACTTTTTATAAATTCCAAATCAAGAACATGAAATCTCCTTGATAATAGAAAATATGAATAATTTTACTCAACTTTTATGCCTTTTAAAATAACTTTTACACTATATCCTCAAAGATGCTAATGGCTTTCCATAATTGTTAAGTTCAACTAGGATCTTTGTGAAACACCCCCCTGGTCTTAGTACAATCTACACATCTTTAGTGTGTAGTGATGCTGCCACCTGTGTTCCGTCTGTTATAGGGTCAAAGGTCATATTTTGGTGGCTGTCTTTTGTTGCGCTCTAACTGCCACATTTCTTGACAGATTTCTTTCAAATTTTCTACAAAGATGCATTATACTCCAATCTACAGAGGTGTAGAGGTGTCGTGGATGAGTGGATACATGTATGTCACTGGACTGTAGATCACAAGGTCCGCGGTTCAAAAACCACAGTGGGTCAGTGTCCTTTGGCAAGACATTGATCTTCATTTGCCACTCTCCACCCAGGTGTTAAATGGGTACCCTGTAGGATGCGAAAGCTAATGTGCTTAGATTAGCAAGTGTGCGCTTGTAAAATTGAGGCCTGGCTGAAATGCTCCCCAGAGAGTGGAGAATGTGCATACATTGAGTGATTTCAAGTTGTGTGTTAGTGTTTCGAGCAGTAAAGAGCTCTTAAATCGAGCTAAAAACCTGCTGATGAAATTAAGAGTCCGATGAAGATAGCAATATCGATAGCTTAAAGGTAAAACAAAGTTTTGGAAATTTTTGAAAATTGGGTGGATAGTGATTCTTTACAATTTTGATGTATTTGGATGCCCCTGTGGATGTTTTATCAGCACTAGAAAATTTAGCCCCTGAAACACTTCTGCTTTTGAGTAAAATTGAATATAAAAATTTACTGGTGCTCCCGGTAAATGTTGATAAATTTCAAATAGCGCCTATAGCCGTACAATGGTAGCTGCGACCATGAAAATCTCAGAATATGTTGTTGTGATATATAGTTTCCAAACAGAAATAGCTAATCGGTCAATTTTAGTCAAGAAACATGGTTTTATAGCTTAATTGACCTTGAGAGGGAGCTATACAACATAAAGAGTGTTTTATTTACAATCTCACAACTTTAGACTTGATTTCAAATGCGACAACGTTCACTGAATATTGTAGGATCGCATATGCTTCCAATATGTTCATTTGAACCAAATTCATGACCCCATACCAAAACTTTGTATTACCTTTAACACCACTGATTTTACACATGCTTGATTTCACGACGATGATTTAAAAATAGTAAATCAAAACTAAAGATATCATGAAAAGCACAGAATAAATTTACACTTATTTCTCTGGTCTTATAAAACAACTCATTTTACACAAAAGAATATATGAATCACATAGTAAAGAACCTGTCTCGCATATTTTTATTTGACTAATTGTCAGACAATATTAGCGTCGTTCGTGCGTTGACAGTTGTTCGGGTACAACATTAACACCGAACTGGAAATGAACATTTGCTTAATCCCTAGGGGCTAGTGTTAGTGAATAGGACATTCGTACGTAAAATATTAACACAAGCCACAAAGTTCGGTTCAGCAGATGACAATTTTGCAAAATCGATAACACTACATGTAGCTACCGTTGATGATATTCAGAGGTCAAAGCCTTAACACCAACTGATTTCCATTTCGGTGTTTAGGGCTTGTGTTAGTGTCTTTTAAACACTAACACCAGCCCTAAACACCTAACTGGAAATCACTCATTGTGTGCGGGTAAGCCTGAATCCGATGACTGGGGTAATAATATTTATATCTGTAAAGCGCTTTGAGAGGGCCTTCGGTCGTGAAAAGCGCTATAAAAGAACTAGTCTTGACAATATTCCGAGCCACTAGTGGTGATCTCTACGTCATCCTTTGGTTTCAGGAAGGGGAGAGAGGATCTTTGTCCCTCTTTCGAACATAAATAAGGATGACACAAAATCTCTGCCACTGCCGGGGGGATAAATTGCAATATTTCCAGTTTTATGAAGGAGTAGCGGGAAGAGATTAATTGCCCTCCTCTCCCTCGCTTTTGATAGAGTTTAACTCTCGTTCACGTTCATTATAAATGTCAAGTTTAGACAAGTTATCTGACCTTTCAGGATAAACGAACACATTTTGTGGCTACAAAGAATGAGTGCACATGGGCGAAGCGGGCTCTCAATTAATATCTTCCCTCTACTCCCTCCTAAAATTACAGTCAAACTTCAAACAGGTAAGTGATCGTTTGAGCTTTCAATTAAATATGCAAAAAATGCTAAATATAGGCCATTTTACCCGCGAGGAGATGCTACATGTATGCTTTGCGTTGACTTGAGGTACATTTATGATGTTCAAACATACTACCAGTTGTCTTAAAGATAAAGATCAGTTATGGTCATGCCATTGCATTGTGAAAGAAACGTTGTGGAATCGATCAGAAAAGGTTGATCATCTAGCATAAGTATTGGTGTGTACTGCAAGGTTCTGGAATCATCAAAATTATAAGAAATTTGGCCCAGTCTTGGTAAAGTTACAAGTACTGTACACAGCAAGATGTATATGGGACTATGTGACACGTGCGCGATATCTATCAGGTCCAAATAGATATAATAATTTACCAAATATATCAATTAGTAGGCGGTTTCTCGGCAAAATTTGTATCATCACGTATTAGTTAAAACATATTCTTTCACGTGACTGGTAATGAGAGCTTCCATATAATTTTTTGAGAGGGGGGCATTTCCAAAACTGATCTTTACCTTTAGTTACACTATGTGTATGATATTCATTAAGGATCATATTAAAAGTTTGAGCTGTACATGTCCCATTCTCGTGATCTTGTTATCTCAAGAACCCATTGATTGATTCCCGCAAAACTTAAGTCATGTATGTATCTTGCAGCCAATGAACTTACCGGTATGTATGCAAAAATAGCTTGTGAACACATTGTAAATAGAACCGACGGATATATTGCTATCCAACTCAAGGACATGTACCGTAAATCTCTGTGTATAAGACGACCCCTAATTTTTTGCCGACTCTGTCAGCACCAAGCCAGGTCCGTGTTCAAAAACCCACGTGGGGAAGGACTTTCATTTAACTGCGAGGTGCAGTTGAAGGCGCCGATTTGTGCTTGTGAACTTGTCACAAATAATAGTAACAATGTCGTTTTGTCTCGCCTGCGTAGCAAAAAGCGAGACATAGGCGCCGCTTTTCCGGTGACGGCGGCGGCGGCGTCAACATCAAAAACTTAACCTAAGGTTAAGTTTTTGAATTTTTGATATAATTTTTAAAGTATAAGTTCTTATAGTCAATGAAACTTTGACTATAGGGTAATCAAGTATCCCCAATCATGTGAGTAGAATTTCAGATCACAAAGTCAAGGTCAAAGGTCATTTCAGGTGAACAGACTTGGACTATGTTGTAGCATCATCATCGAAAACTTAACCTAAGGTTAAGTTTTTGAATTTTTGATATAATTTTGAAAGTATAAGTCCTTAGTCAATGAAACTTGGACTCAATCATGTGAGTAGAATTTCAGGTCACTAAGTTAAGGTCAAAGGTCAACAAACTTAGACTCTGTTGTGGCATCAACATCAAGATTTTCAAAATGCTTCTTCTTCGTGATTTTTCAACCGATTTTGATTCTGATTGTTTCATATGATAGGGCTAGGAGGGGGATTTAAAATTTCTGCACAGAATCGTGAAATTCATTATCTATGCTAATTTATGCTAATTTATTCGAAATCACAAAAAAGGCTTCTTCTCCTTCATTTCTCGACCGATTTTGATTTGGTTTGCTTTATTTCGGTACACTAAACTTCTACACAGAATTTTGAAATTGTTCTCCATTAATTAATTATGGTAATGTATGCAAATTTATTCCAAAAATAACAAAAATGCTTCTTTTCCCTCATTTCTTGACCGATTTTGTTTTGGTTTGCCTTATCTGGTAGAGCTAAATTTGGAACACTAAACTTCTACACAGAATTGTGAGATTTTGCTCCATTGATTATTTATGGTACTTTATGCAAAAGAAATGAAATTATGTCCCTTCCAAAGGCATCAAATTTTTATTTTTGACCAGTTCAAAAGTGTACCACATAAAATTTACGATATTTGTTGTTGCGAGATGCGGATGAGCGCATAAATGAGGGGCATGAGGGGCATAAATCGAAACGCACCCCCTACTTTCAAATTTTTGGAGATTTACGGTTTGTATCTTGTAAAGCCAATGACCTGATTAGATTATGGGGTCACGATGTTAAAGGTCATGGGGCTCATCATGTATGCCTATAAACAGCTTGTGAATGCATTGTTAAAACCGACAGATAGATTACAATCAAACTTGAATTTAAAAATTGCTTCTGTTTTGGTTTGTAAATTTTCTCTATGGCAAGGCATCATTTTCGACCACACGCAGTCTTAATTCCATCTAGTTTTAAGTCTTTCTTGAAATATTTTGTTTGCAGAAGCTGTCAGTGGAACGAACTCTGTCCATATTGCAGAAAATAAAACAGCAAATCATCAGGTCCATACTCAACCAAATTCACACCACTCAACTGACCATGAGCAGCATATCAAAACGGTAAGTTTGTGTAAAGTTTCCACATAGTGGGATTTGGTTTCATTCCATTTCACATGTCCTTTTTGATGACAATCATGATAATCTTGTGATCCACTTTACTTTACGTTAGGAAAGCTTACAGACTCGCTACTCCACTGGAGTAACTAACCATCCGAAGCATGAGTATGAAAAATTCTAATACACCGAGGGGCTGCTGATTTACCTCAATAAATCAATGTATCTACCTATTATTTGCTAGTTTACCTAAACTACGCAGCCATCGAGTACTAAAATGTCATATTCGCGCATGTCCCACCCCAATACATTGCCTTACCATGGTTCACGTGCGCAACCACACGCCCGCCATCTTCCTCTTTCTATTTTCGCCCGCCGAGAAAACTCATCTACAGCTTAGTCACTGTTCAAAATTGAGGATTTTTATCCTAGTTGCTCCAGACTACTCAGGACCTTGGCTTTCTCCCACCCCAGTGTCCTTGGGTGCGAAGATGGACATTCCAGGTCGTTCAGCCGGGCTGCGCGGGCTGCGACAGAATTCGGACAATTTTGTTGGCCGTCCAGTCCCTTCAGCTTTCTCACAGAGTGCAAGCCAAGTGTTGGCTTCAGTTTCTGGGCTACCTTGCCAGTTTTGTGAATGTATTTCCAGATTGCAGACTTCTGATGAGGCCTTTCAGAGGCACCTTTTGAAATTTTTCACGCCCGGCGTGGATTCCCTCCATGTTTAGATTCCGTTACCGAAGGAAATCTTACCTCTGCTCCCCCCCCCCCCCCCCCCTGTGCGTTTCGTTCCTGGCTCAGGGCAAGCCTCTGCATACCCCTATTCCATCTGTGTTTCTAACATGGGATGGTTCCCTCTGGGCTGGGGGGGGGGGGGCATTGCGGGGGTGAGATGGTTTCGGGAGATTGGTCCCATCTGTGACCATTCCCCACATCAATGTCCTGGAGCTGATGGCGGCATTTATGTCACTCCGGCATTTTAGACGGGCGTGTGTTCTATGCTGGTCCTCAAGGACTTACATCAACCGGCAGGGCGGGATGTGGTCAGCGTCTCTGAATGCTCTTGCCGCCCGAATTTGAATGTGGTGTCGGGCCAGCAACATTGTCCTGATCGCCTCCTACATTCCCAGGCAGCCTGATTGCGGACTTCCTCTCTCGGGGCAAGTGTCTTTCCTTGGATTGGTTGCTTCATCTGGAGGTGTTCGATCAGCTCAGGGTGGCTTGGGATCCTCTAGAGGTTGATCTTTTTGCCGTCACTCTCAACCACCGTCTCCCGGAGTATTGCTCGCGGGTACAGGATCCGGAGGCGGCCTGGGCACTCCATCCCTTGGAGGCAATTCCAGGGGTACGTTCCCCCCCCCCCCCCTCCCTGATCCCTCAGGTCCTGAGGAAGATCAAGGAGGATCAAGCACGGATCCTTCTGGTAGCTCCGCATTGGCCGAGGAGACGGTTCCCTCTTCTCCTGTCTCTCTTGGATGGGTGCTCTTTCCCTCTCCCGCTAAGGCTGGACCTGGTGTCCCAGCCTCTGTCTAGGATTCTTCATCATTGTCCCGCGGTGCTCTCTCTGATCGCCTGGCCGTTGTCGAAGAGGAAGATGGTAGGCATGCGGTTGCGCACGTGAATGCTGGGAAGGCGATGAATTGGGGTGGGGCATGCGCGAATGTGAAGTTTTCAGTTGTCGATGGCTGCGTAGTTTAGGTAAACTAGCAAATGATAGGTAGATACATAGATTTATATAGTAAATAATAAAATCAGTTAGGATTTTCCTGATTTCAGGTATTTGCCATGTGAAGAAGGAAAACATATGAACCTGATTTCCTTCACATTGATATTTTTATTATTTTTGATGTTCTCTCATAGATTTTGGAAAAGGCCAAAGAATGGTCAGAACACAAGAGTTCATCAGGGAAGAAATATTACTACAACTGTAGAACAGAAGTATCACAATGGGAAAAGCCAAAGGAGTGGGTTGAAAGGTAAGAATCTGTCATCTGCAATACTTTGAGCAGGCATGGTATTTCCCTGATTTTTCTCGAATTTGGGAAATAAGCCTCACTTTATATCCAAAGCAGCTCCTGATTCTAGTTTTTCTTTTAGGGTAAAGCTTCTTTGGTTGCACATGCAACCATTGTAGTCATGTTTTAAATTCAAAGTCACCATATTTTTGGCTCCTCAGAAGGGGGAGGTGAGACTAAGGGATACAAATAGCATCCGTCCGTCATCTATCACAAATGTTAGTTTACCTGCAAGATTCTCTTGTGACAAATAATATTGTATACATTGTACACAAAACTTCACATGCTAAGGTCAAAGGTTGTTTGAGGTCGTGTTGGGGTAATTCCATAAAATGTTAACTTTAGGTGTTAAAGAAAAGTGTAATTTTATGCCAGTGAATTACACGTGATTTTACGTTTATGGATCAATTTTTTTATTTCAATATTTTAATATATTTTGACCCCAAATGAACATATTTTTTTTACCTGTACATCAAATTACAAATTTTCATGGTAAGATGTGGTTAATTACATAGGAATTTCCAGATGTTATTACTGTCATTATAACTAAGTTAATCAAAAAATTGTTAGTACTAAAGAGAATTTTACATTTAATAACAAGTTTTAAAAAATATAAGAAAGTTTGAGATTTCTATGCCTCCGTTACAAAGTAGCCAGAAGCATTGTGTTTTCGGGATGTCCGTCCGTGTGTCTGTACGGACGTCCGTTCGTCTGTATGTCCCGTTCTCGTGATCGCTTTGCCTCAAGAACCGATGGATGGATTCCTGCCAAACTTAGGACATGTATGTATCTTGCTGAGCGAATAAATTGATTAGATTGGGGGTCATAAGGTCAGAGGTCATGGGGCTAATTATGTATGCAGAAAGTAAGTCGAAGGTCTATCTAGTTTTAATTGTATCCCCCAGCAGTATGCCGGTGGGGTACTTTGGATTCAGCAGCGTTACGCTGCGTCATACTCTTGTGTGCGCTGTAACTGCCACATATCTATACAAATTTTGTTCAAATTTTCAATGAAGATGTATCTTGGTATAATCTACAAGCCTTTAGATTTTGGTGATGCTGCCTCTCGAGTTCCGTCTTTTATTGGGTCAAAGGTCACATTTTAATTGATATCTTGGATGCACTCTAGTGTGCGGTCTAACTGCATTATTCCTTGATGGATTTCTTTCAAATTTTGTATGGAGGTGTATCTTGGTATAATCTACACACGTATAACTTTTGGTGATGCTGCCCCCAGTGTTCCGTCTTCTATAGGGTAAAAGGCCATATATTGTGGATGGTTTGTTTGCGCTCTATGGGTCACATTTCTCAAGGGTATTTTGTTTACATTTTGAACGAAGGTATAATCTACAAGCCTATAGATTTGGTGATGCTGCATCCAGTGTTCTGTCTTGTGTAGGGTCAAAGGTCATATTTTGATACATGTCTTGTGTGCGGTCTAACTGCATCATTTTTTAACAGATTTGTCTCAAATTGAGTATGGAAGTTTATGTTGGTAAAATCTATGCACCTATATGCCCAAATTTAAACCTCCTTTGTGAATTCGGGCCATATTGTTTGGTGATGCTGCCACCAGTGTTCACCTATTATAGGGTCAAAGGTCATATTTTGGTGGGTGTCTAGTGTGTGCTCTGCAGGTCATATTTCTTGATGAATTTCTTTCAAATTTATAAGGTCAAAGGTCATATTTTGATAGATGTCACTATGAACATGACGGACAAAGAAAGCGGAGAAAATATACAGTTCCTCGGGTAGACAAAGGAACATCCCTTCACTGTTATTAAGTAAAAAGGTGGATATGCATGTGACACCTGTTCTACACATTTTTACTTTTTGGCAATGCTGCCCTCATTGTTCCATCCTTTATAAGGTCAAAGGTCATTTGTCCCTTATGTGCGCTCCTACTGCCACATTTCTTCGAGGATTTCTTTCAAATTTTGTATGGAGGTGTATCTCTTGATCATACAGGTATCTGCACATCATTAGTGTTTCGTGATGCTGCCACCTGTGTTCGTCTGTTATAGGGTCGCAGGTCATATTTTGGGTGTATAGTGTGTGCTCTGCAGGTCATATTTCATGACTGATTCCTTTGAATTTTTTTATGGAGATGTATCTTGGTACAATTTACACATCTACACTTTTTGGCGATGCTGCCCTCATTGTTCCGTCTTTTATATGGTCAAAGGTCATATGTCTTTTAAGCGTCTAACTGCCACATTTCTTTCATATTTTCTACAGAGATGCATTTTACTCTATAATCTACACACATATTGTTTTGTTGATGCTGCTTCTAGTATTGACAATAGTCCGAGGCACTAGTGGCGATTTCTACGTCATCTTTTTGTTGCAGGAAGGGGAGAGGGGATCTTTGTCCCTCCTTCGAGCATAAGCATGACACAAAAACGCTGCCACTGCCGGGGTATACATTAGCATTGCGCGGCAATACAGATTGCGATATTTTTAGTTATTATTATCATTTTTGTTATTATTATCAATTTAAAACAAAAGAACATGGTATTTAATGCTAGAAATTTTTGTCTTCTTGAATAGTTGTATTAAAGAGAAGGTTGAGTTCTGGGAAGAGGTGAAAAATAATTTGTGAGCTTTATCATTCTTATTATGCAAGTGTGGAAGAACATCAGATAAGACATGTAACATCGTAAAACTCCGGGGTAGGATTTTTACGCCATGTGTTCGTGTAGTCCCATACGCATCTTTCCGTGTACAGTGTTTGTAACTTTACCAAGACTTGGCCAAATTTCTTATCATTTTGATGATTCCAGAACCTAACAATACACACATTATATGCTAGATGATCAACCTTTTCTGGTCGATTCCACACCGTTTCTTTCACAATGCAATCACATGACCAGAACTCAACTTTATCTTTAAGTGACTGTTCATTTTTAATGTGTCCTGTCTGTCACGTTTTTAATGTCCCATCTGTCATGCTCACAAAAGCCAGACGAAATTCAAATTTATACTAACAACTCACAAGTAATAATCTGAATATACACATTTTGTTTTAAGATCATCCATTGAGGAGCGTTCACTCAAAAGGCATCAAAGCAGAAATTGATTTGTGTATTCCTGTCCTGTCTGTCATGCTTAATTTGAAGCCCCACCAACAATTTGTGGGGAGGGCTTGAAGTAAAATAATCCTAATTTAGTGAACAAAATACCATTGGTCACACTCTACATTAATATAAGCATCATCACATGAAATATAAAATAGCAGGTACATACATCAAATAAGAGGGTTGGATGTCCCGTCTCTCACGCTGGAATTGCCCACCACGCACTTGTGACAAATAACTGTTAATCGCATTGTGACTAAATTTGGGTCATAGATGAACTTGGAGTTCATACTATAGTGCTGTCAAGGGTTACATGCTAAGGTCAAAGGTGATGCAAGGTTATATATTTGAATTTACATGTAAAACTCTCTTTTCACAAATAAAATCCAACTGTTAATAGCATTGTGACTAGACTTGAGGCACTTTAGAGACCTTCACGTGCAACCAAACTTGAGTTAAAGGTTGGGTGACATCCAAATATGGCCGAGATATAACTGGGCGATTGCCTTGTTTTATATTTTTATAATGTTTTACCTATTTTTTACTTTTTTATTGGAATATGATATGCCCAGTTTCATTGGAATTTTGTGTAAAGTAATGAACAAGGATGGATTGCATCATAATATGATGGCTACTATTAGTAGTTTAATGTTACAGGAACAATCAAATCGGAGGAAACATTTTTGAAGGAAAGTTAGTTCAGTTTTTGTGGTGGATAAACATGCTACATGTATCTAAATTTGGAGTTAATTTAGTATTGTATGTCTGCCTCGAAAACACAAAATATCAGAGAAGTCACACACATTGATTATAGGGATTTATCTGTACCAGTTGAATTGAATCATTCTATATCCGATTTACATTGTGTACATTGATATACCATTGCCACCTGAACCTCCGCACAGTGTTCCTCTTTTTCTTGATTTTCTTTGTCTCATACCTGTTAATATGAAGGTAGGAAATCCTATTTTGTTTTATTCAGAGAAAAGCTGCAGCGAGTTGTTGGCACAGGAAAACTGGGTACCAGTGATTCACCTCACCAACCATCTACTACCCCTACTGTGTCATCTAGAGGTAGGTATTCTGTAATCAAAACCTTGAGTGGTTACCTTTTTTTAATGCCTGGTATAAACTATAAAGACATTTCTCTTTCCTATACATTGACTTTTTAAAAATATTTGTATTGCCACTACAGAGGAAATAAATAGGGTACAGGCCATACATATTTTTCTGGTGGACAGCTGTCACAATGTTCTTTGATATTTGGTAAACTGCACCTTTTATAAATTATTTTTAAAGGTATCTTTTATTTCTTCTTGTTTATATTTTTACAGTCGCATACTCTTACTCTGCACGTTATTGGAGAATTTTGTTTATGCATAATGTACAGAGCTGCCAACCAGTACGATTTTATCGTATTTCGTACATTTTTTAGAAGTCCAGTACATTTATTCCTCAAGAAAATTGGATCCCCCCCCCCCCATTTTTTTGTTGTTTGTGTGTGTGTGTGTGTGTGTGTGCCATTTTCAATGGCTAATTGCACATTCTGTTTTGTAAAGTATCCTACAAGCATCTCACATCGGCAATTTGGAGATGTCTATTGGTTCATCGAACACGCCAGTCATGACAAAATCATGTATATTCAACCAATGATCCATAACAAATGTTATTCCTGTATGTAGGAACTTATGCAAATTGTCCCCCCCCCCCTTAACAACAACAAAAACAACCCAAAACCGCATGTTCGCAGTGAGAAAGTACTTATCGATCAAAAATAGGATTTGGGGGGAAAAAGAATAGGATTTTTGTTCAGTTGAGGTTGGCAGCTCTTGATCCATCTATAAGTCCCTGTTCTTTCTTGTTAATACAATTTTTTTCTAGTAAAATAATTACTTATGGGATTAAAGAATACAGTTTTTGAATTCCAGAGGTTGGCAGGTCTGAATATACTGACTCCCATTTCCTTACTACAGCTTTACCAAATGACAAGCATTCCAATGATGACAAGCCCCATGAAAGTGAGCATGAGTCTAACACCTGTAATAAATCTGAAAAACGAGCTGACAGTCAATCACAGGATAGGAAATCAAACACAAGCCAATCACAGAGCAGACCACAGCTCACCAGTCCACACCCTAAGTCGGCCCATTTACATTCTTCATCATCAACTACAAGCAAAGCTTATTCAACCAGCCAATCACAGCAGCCTAAATGTAGTAGCAGCCAATCACATTTATCGTCATCCTCGTCACACTCCAGTAATGCTGTAGGGCAGTGTTACGAATTGCAACCTAAATCGATGGGCCATTCGCAACCTCCTGTATCAAGGCCACCAAATGCGGAAAAGACTCAGAATTATCGTATTGAAAATTCAAGAAGAGACTTGCAGGCAGCAAATTTGAAAATGCCAGTATCACTAGCTACTGACATGTATGGAAGGCTTAAAAATCTTGTAGCTGCCTCACATCCCCCCAAGGGTTCTGATAGTGGTAAGTTATTCATTGAAAATGTCAAGTGATAGCAGCTATACACATGGCATTTTGCTTTGCATGTGACATGAGTTTTTGTTGTTGTAAATTTTTGTCTGTTTTTCCCACCCCCTTACTGTAAATTTTTATTTATGCTTATGCAGATTTTGATATATTGGGCAGGTATCAACATGAAGAAAAAACAAATCAGCTCTGGAGAACCGGCAAATCTCCTACTTTTATCCTACATTCTGCCTAAATCTGACTTCTGTCCTACGTTTCCTTAAATATTGATCTTACTTTTCTCCTATTTTTCTCTTGGGTCTGCTTGAAAAGCCAATGTTTTTTCTTTAAAAAATGATGAAAACTTGCAGGAAATCCCATGAAAATTACATTTGCAAAACGAGTCCCCTTACAGTGCACGTGAATTGGAATACTTTTTTGGTTTCCTTATATTAAAAAAGTGTATCTTTCCTTGCTCATTACTCAGCTATAATATGCAGTATCATTCATTTGTAGCTTTCAACATTCACTTTAAGTTTGGTAATATGAAAATTGTTTCCTGCCTTTAACTCTAATTGAGAAAAAAGATTACCTGTCATAAAATTCCCAATGTTGAAAATTGTGTTTCGAGGACCTTTTTAAACTTAATTCTATTAATCCAAGTATATCTGTAATTTTGGTAGATTCACCTCAGATACAGAGCACACCTTCTCCTGCAGATACTCCATCACCAGTCACCTCCAGGTTTCAGAATCAGAGTAAACCCTTCCCATCTAGGTCACCTTCAACAGACAAGGACAGGCACTCGCATCAAAACGAAAGGAATGATGAACTCAATGAAAGTAAGTTCAATTCATTGTACAACTGGTGTACTAAGTGTATGCTGGAGGATACTTTGGATTCAGCATCCACCGCGTCATATTCTAACTGCCACATTCCTTGACAGATTTATTTCAAATTTTGTATGGAGGTGTATCTTGGTATAATCTACAAGCTATAGATTTTGGTGATGCTGCCTCCAATGTTCCTTCTTTTATAGGGTCAAAGGTAGTGCTGTAAGTCAGACGCCATGTTCATGTTCGGTTCGGTTCGGCAGAGTTCGGCAATTTTTCAGGGTTTCTTGTCAGGATTTGGGATTTAAATGGCGCCAGTGAAATCGCGCCCACCACTGGATAGGCATATAAATCACAAAGGAGGAAAATGGGAAAAAAGTAAATAAAAAATCATACCTGCCAACCACCCCGATTTAGGCGGAGTTCCACCGCATTTTTCATACCAACTCCAAATTCCGAGTGCATGCCTCAAAACTCCGATTTTTTTTAATTTTAAAATATTTTTAAAACAAACGACTGTTGCATAAGACTAATGCATAACACAGCACTGATAACCAGATCACGCCGACATCCGCGCTCGCACTCATAGAAGATATACACAGCGCAGCCCGAACGTGATCGTTAGTTCCGCAGTCATTATCCATGTACTGCATGTACTAGTACATGGAAGCACGTGCGCAAGCTTTATCGATAAAGTGTGTGCGGACGTTGTACTAATACATACACTCCATGCAGCGTTGTTGCATAGTAACTGCATGCGTATAGCCCACGTGTATTTATATTACATGTGCAGTTGATCCACCGTGCATAAACACTGTATACATTGGCGTGTTTTCTTCAATGCTTGTGCGATGACTGCGATCGTGGAAGCTTGTTATTTACCGGACTTCCTCGGATTTATTTTGGATTACTACTACTATATTCTTCTTCTTCGTTGATTTCTCCATTTTTGAAGGACAAAATGGGTAAGACTCGTGCTGTTCATAATCAGAAGTATAAGAAAGAATACAAGAAACAATTTCCAGTTGCAGAATCAGCACTCGGACTTCAACACGCATTTTGCATTGTGTGTTCGGCCGACTTCAGTATCAACCATGGGGGAATGAATGACATTCAGAAACACATGAACTCGAAGAAACATAAAGCTTTCAGCGAAATTAAGGACAAAATTGTTTATGTGTGGGGCGAAAAGGTTAAAGGAAAAGGCCCATTTGCACCATTAAAATGGAGAGAAAAAAAAATAGACCCTAAAGTCCTGTGTACCCCCCCCCCCCCCCCCCCCCCCAATCCACGGGCTACTACCCCAATCCTTTGGTGGTTCGCGACCTCGTAGTCCATCCAGAAAAATTTACTCCTAATTTCTCTTGTCTCAGGTTGGCAGGTATGAAAAATGAGCAATCATGACATGAAAATTAGGTACAAAATGACAAGTTAAATAGCTTGCAAAAACGTTTACATTTTTCTGCCGATCATATGAACCAGGCCTTTGCATTCGGTTCGGTTTGGTTCCGAAGTGCCATGTTAGGCGAACTTCCGTTCAGTTCGGCGGTTCGCTACAGCACTAGTCAAAAGTCATATTTTGATAGATGTCTTGTGTGCACTCTAGTGTGCAGTCTAACTGCAACATTTTGTGACAGATTTCTTTCAAATTATGTATGGAAGTGTATGTTGGTAAAATGTACACACCTATAGTTTTTGGTGATGCTGCCACCAGTCTCATATCTTATAGGATTAAAGGGTATATTTTGCAGGATGGCGTGAGTGCATTCTGTAGACCACATTTCTTGATTGATTTCAAATTTTGTAATGAGATGTATCTTGGTACAATCTACACATCTTTACTTTTTGTGATACTGCCCCCATAGTTCCTTACTAGGGTCAAAGGTCATTTGTCCCTTTTGTGCGTTCTTACTGCCACATTTCTTGACAGATTACTTTCATATTTTGTATGAAGATGTGTCTTAGTAAAATCTACACGTCTATAGTGTTTCGTGATGCTGCCACCTGTGTTCCATCTGTTATAGGGTCAAAGGTCATATTTTGGTGGCTGTATTCTTTAATGGGCGATCCAACTTCACAGGTTTTCACAACCTTCATGGAAAGCCCCGCATATAACCTTTGTAAACATAGTTAAAATTTACTGTTACTTTGTATATTTTGATTTTTATATTGCGAAATAAAATTGAATTGATATGCTGGATATATATATATGCATTGTGCTGCAATACAGATTGCGATATGTCTCGTTTCAGAAAGGGATAATTCTGCTGTAACTTTTCTTCAACCTTTATAGAAATACTATACAAAAAGAAAGCATCCCATTTTATATCAACACAAGTGTATCGAAACTTTCTGAAGGGCTTTTACAAGTTGGCGCACTGGCTGCATTAGCCATTTTTATGCCTCCGCCACCGAAGGTGGTGCCGGAGGCATCATGTTTTCGGGTTGTCCGTCCGTACGTCCGTCCGTCCGTCCCGTTTGACCGTTATCACAATATCTCAAGAACCATTTAAGATTTAAACTTAAGACTCGGGAATAGTATTTATCACCATAGGAAGACGATCTGATTAGATTTTGGAGTACGTAGGTCAAAGGTCACAGGTCACAGAGGTCAACTTATGAAATTCCTTGTATTGAGTTTGTTAGCGCGATATCTCAAGAACCATTTGAGATTTAAACTTCAAACTTAAGGATAGTATGTATCACCATAGGAAGGACGATCTGATTAGATTTTGGAGCACGTATGTCAAAGGTCAAGGGTCACAGAGGTCAACTTATGAAATTCCATACATTGAGATTGTTATCATGATATCTCAAGAACCACTGGAGATTTAAACTTCAAACTTAGTGATAGTGTGTATCACTATAGGAAAACAATCTGATTACATTTTGGAGCACGTAGGTCAAAGGTCAAGGGTCATAGAGGTCAACTTATGAAATTCCATACATTGAGATTGTTATCATGATATCTCAAGAACCACTGGAGATTTAAACTTCAAACTTAATGATAGTGTGTATCACCATAGGAAGACAATCTGATTAGATTTTGGAGCACGTAGGTCAAAGGTCAAGGGTCACAGAGGTCAACTTATGAAATTCCATACATTGAGATCGTTATCGCGATATCTCAAGAACCACTGGAGAATTTTCACTTCAAACTTAATGATAGTATGTATCACCATATCATAATATCTCAAGAACCACTGGAGATTTAAACTTCAAACTTAATGATAGTGTGTATCACCATAGGAAGACAATCTGATTAGATTTTGGAGCACGTAGGTCAAAGGTCAAGGGTCACAGAGGTCAACTTATGAAATTCCATACATTGAGATTGTTATCATGATATCTCAAGAACCACTGGAGATTTAAACTCCAAACTTGTTTAAATTGCTCTATGGCGGAGGCATCATTTTCGACTGCGCGCAGTCAAAATTCCATCTAGTTTTGTACATGTATGTTGTCTTTAAGTGTGTTTGTATCAGGGAAAAAAAATTAAAGGGGCACTTGTCAAAGTAAAATGGGCAACTCTGATTTGTATAGGGGCAATTATCAAAAGTGGAAAGGGGTTCTTCTCGTACTTGCAAAGGGGCACTTGTGAGAATGGCAAAGGGCTGGTATAAAAACAATTTTGGGGTCACTTATCACATGGAAAAGGGGCACTTATTTGAAAGGAGAAGGGGGTATGTGTCAAAAATAAAAGGGGCACTTATTGAAAGGGGACACTTGTCAAAGTAAAAGGGGTATCATTAGAGATAAAGTGGGCACTTGGCAGAGGTGGTAAGGGGCACTTATGAATGTGGAATGGAACCTATCAGAAAGAAAAAATGGGCAGTTTTCCTATTTTCCCAGAGCGCCTCCTTCAATGCATTGTTTTTGTTCGCTTTCTGAATTCTTCTTGATCTTATTTTAATTTTAATCCCATTCGTTTAGCACGCAGAGCCTGTGAGCTCTATAAACTTCTGTTTCTCCATCTCGATTCATTTCAAACTTTGTAGGCATAATCTCTGGCATCCATTCAAGGTCACCTGCCTCTTCATTTTCCATAAACCCTCATGCATGACCATCCGTGCCATTTTGTTAGTCTCTGGTCCGTTTTACGACCTTTCTTTCTTCCTTTGTATCTCCACTATCCCTGATGCTACATACTTGTTACAAATTCCTTTAGATAGTCTAAGAGATGCTTTTTCATCTTAATACTCAAAATTTAAGTCTGAAATCGACTAGGGTACGTCAAAAATCTATACATTTCTTAAAAATTAACCCCTAAAAACTGTAAATTGCCATAATTTTTCCAGATTTTTCCCTTATTTTCTCTACCGGTATTCTTCCCTATTATTTCCCAAGTTTTCTTACTCAAAAGGGGGGGGGGGGAATGTTGTTGGATGCCATTTTTTTACGCAAGGGGGGCATAGTTGAGGGGGAACCCCCCCCCCCCCCTTTTTTATTTTTCTTTCTGTTTTGTCTCCAATTTTTACAGTATCTTGATCTGATCATTGCACACACCCCAGCCAAATTTCATGCTCGAATGGTCACGCATCACAAGATAGCGCCTTCTAAAATTCTGAAAATGGCTATCTTTCTGTCCCTGTAGCTCCATCATACCTGGCCGAACCCGCACCCTTTGTTGGATTTAGATACTTCAAGATTTGCTCATTTCATTCAAATACAAAAATATATGCCCCACCACTGACCGACTTTGCGAAAATTGCTCTCAAAAATCACAAATTTCTTGAAAAGAAAATTGGGAAATATCTTCAACCTGCTCTAAAATCATGAAGTTTCTACCCAGGTCAATGAAACTTAGCAGGCCTGTGTATCTTTACACATGAAAGCTGTCTGCTAAGTTTTGTAAAATTTGATGTCGTCATCGTAAAGATATCACAAAAAATTATGAATTTACTATGTATTACAGTGCATTACCCCAATGAAATGCCCTTCCAAACGATACCAAATATGGTATATGACATCAAATATGTATGATGCATGAGAAAAATACATTATTTTAA